ATACGCCTTCTGATTCGCCAGTACACCACCTGTCGTGTGAACGACATGGGCTCTTTTGCTCTTTTGCCAGCGTATACTCAACCTCGTCTCGTGGCCCTCTAAGAACAAGCCACCGGCTCTTCGCTGAACGCCCGGCACCTTGCTCGGCACCTGCCAATACTTGCCCGACTAGAACCATCTCTAGACTGATTCGTTTCTCTGCAGGGTGTCAACAGCCGCATCCCGAATGACTTCACTCTGCCAACCTGCCTGACCACTACTACGCACGGCCACTGTCAGGGCTGTCATCACCGACCCTCAGCTCAATTTGTCCTTGTTTTCAGGCCCCACTGCCGAATAGGCGTCTGTTGCACGACCACACGCTTGTCTCGGCATAACCTGTATGGTCAGATCTGTACCGCGATCTGGACCAGCATCCATTGCCTGTGCATCATACGCGCATTGCCGTGAGGCTTCGAGAACACTGTCGCCGGTTTTTCACTCTCTGTTAGCACAATGTACGTCTTCCCCTCATATGGACACCCTTCAACCCCGCCCTATGGTGGTCTTGAACAAGAAGGCCTCGTCAACAAGTCTAGCATCCAAGGAAGACACCACTGACTCTGCACGTTTCACCAGGAAGTTCGGAAAGCACATACAGAAAAGGCAACTGGAAATCCCAGAATATGCCGCCAGCTTTGTCGACTACAAAGCGCTCAAGAAGGTCCTTCTACTTTTTGCCCTTTTTTTCCCACACAACATGGTAGCTGATAGGGTTCTGTGTAGCTTATCAAGAAACTTAGCGCCACTCCAGTCATACCTCCACTGAGCGAAGGAAGCAATCATGATTTGCTCGACCCTCAGACCTCATTGCAGGCAAACAAGGCCACATTCTTCTTCAGAGTGGTAGGCAGTCTCGGTTCTTGCAATCGCTAAGTCAAATTTTGACAATGGCAACAGGAACGCGAACTCGAAAAGGTCAACACCTTTTACTTGCAAAAGGAGGCAGAGGTACGTCGCACAGATTGTGTGTCATCACCTGCTCACCATGTCCACAGTTGCGCCTACGTTTGACCACCCTTCTGGATAAGAAGAGAGTGATGCAGCAGCATCCGCAATCTGTCTCAAAGACATCTTCGCGTTATGTTGCTCTAGAAGAAGGACTAAAACAGTTTAGCATGGATCTCAACAAACTCGAGGTGATTGGCTCACGTGCATTTGGAAGGGGGGTTTGCCGAAACTGACCTGACTCTAGCAATTTGTCGAAGTGAACGAAACTGCCTTCTCCAAAATCCTCAAAAAGGTGTGCTGCACCTTGTTTTCTCTACACCGCTGTCCTTGCCTTGCTGACTCTTCTTAGTGGGACAAAACATCAAAGGTCTGTCGCCAAACTCCATGTATTTCCGGGCCCTGGTTGACGTCAGCAATAGTCGAGAGAAAAACAGCTTTACCTTGCGCGCGCCGTCGAAGTCCAACCATGCTTCAACCGAGAAGTCATCAGCACATTGTCCGATCAAGCTACTCAAGCGCTTTTTGATTTTTCAGGGTGGGCCGAAGGTGAAGGGGTACAAGCGCCTCATCCTGCAGCTGAAGCACGCCTCTCCGAGCCCGCATTCGACGTCAAGATCGAGCTCGACAACCAATTTGTTCAGGCCATCAACACTGGAAACCAAGGCAAGACTCAAGAATGTCTTGCTCGCCTAGCCACACTTCCTGACGCGCGCGAGCACGTTTCAAGGGCATTCCTGAGCACCGTCGCAGAAGCGCCAGAATCTACGCTGAAAATCCTTCTTGATTCAAACCTTGTGAATATTGCACAAGAAGACGAAATCAATGAGCGAAACTGTCTCCACAAGGCTTCGATCAGCGGACGCATTGAAGTGCTCAGGCTTGGCCTTGCAAGCAGTGTAGATGCTCACGCGACGGATGTGTACGGCAGGATACCACTGCACTATGCCTGCATGCATGGGTACGTGGAACTGGTCGAGGAACTCATCAATACCGCACAGGATACGGTAAACTTTCGCGACCAAGACAGCTTTACACCCCTGATCCATGCGATTGTGCATTCAAAGCTTGCCTGTGTCGAGATTCTCTTGTCACGAGGCGCCGATCTTACTCGTCTGGGGCCCGGAGAACATGTGCCACTCAATCTCGCATGCCAATATGCGTCGCTAGAGATCCTGGAGCTTCTTCTACAGAGATCTGCCGAGATGCTGCCAGATGCAGAGGGACTGTTTCCACAGCACTTGGTAGCAAGATCGGGAAAGACACCACAGGCGCTTCTCTTGCTACAGAAATATGGTGCTGATCTCAATCAAACAGACAAACTCTACCAGTGGACACCTCTGTTCCACGCGGCGAGTGAAGGACATGTAGAATGTCTGCAGACATTACTCCAATGCGGAGTCGACGTGGACATTGTGGACGAGAAGGGCTTGTCTGCTATGTACTATGCAACATGGGAAGGCCATATTGAGTGCATGACACTGCTTGCTTCTGTAGGGCGTGGTGTTGGACTGATGACACAGAAACAAGCCTCTCCGCAGATCCCATCACAAATGTCGAGCTCGATGCCTACGGCAATGGATATCGAGGGCGACCCTGACGGCATTCCCGAATTTATCCTGCCCCCTCCCATCATCCCATTCCGGAGATATGGACACAACTTCCTAGACACCAAGACATTCGTTGTGATCAATTTCGAGAAGATTGGCAAAGATGCGATCCGCTTCTACGACGAGTCCAAATACCCAGCCGCAAGGCTGACAATCTCGTCAAAAAGCTCCGACCTCATACCACGCAACATTCTGTTACCTATCCAAGATGAGTTCAAAGTCATCTCTTTCCAGATCGAGAACCTGGATACTTTCTCCATCGACTTTGACGTGTACCCTACGATAGGGTCAAAGGTCATTGCACGCAGTGTAGCTTCCTCGAAGGTGTTTACGGAGCGTTCCAAAGGCACAGGAAGATGGCATCTTGAGCTGTTCGACCCCAGGCTTCGCGCGATTGGCAGAGTTACTTTCGACTTTCAAGTTGTCAAGCCCTTCCACGGTATCCCACTGGAGATTACTCATTTTGCCACTTACTGGAAAGCTACGAGCCAGCTGGATTCACAACCTCATACTCTCATCACAGGTTCAAGCCTATCTGGGGAGTATGTCCGATTGTTCGTTCAATTGACTGCCGACGGTATACCGGTACTGCATCCTCAGTGGAAAGTGAACCACCATGGTCTTGAAGTTCCGGTCAACATCCTGACACATGCACAATTTGCTGCTATTGGTGCTCAGCAAACCGCCACAACTGCAGAGCAGCTTGCCAGGGAGTTGAGTAATGCTAGCGCAGAAGATATTCCAAACATCTACCAGGTCATGGCATCATCTTTCATTACCCTGAAGGAAGCCTTGACAGCGCTTCCAGCTCACATCCATGTTGAGTTGCATGTCCTATTCCCGTCCAAACTCGAAGAGGAACGCCTCAAGCTGGGGCCAACACTTGACATGAATACTTTTGCAGACAAGATTTTGTCTGTGGTTTTCGAACACGCACGTCAATTGAGAGAGCAGGGAGTGGGCGAGATTGATAGTACGCTAAGGAGCGTTCTCTTTAGCTCCTTTAATCAGGACATTTGTACAGTCATCAACTGGAAGCAACCCAACTGTAAGTGTTCAGTCAAGAAGTATCTTCATGGCAGGATGTTAACCTCGATATAGATCCAGTTCTTCTTTGTAACGAGCTCGGCGCAGACAGCTCTAGGTCGCCTTCAGGAAGTACGCATATTGTCTTGAGCAGCGGTCGCACGAGAATATCTGTGAAGGAGGCAGTGCAGATTGCAAGAGACAACAACTTCATGGGTCTGATATGCAGTTCTCGTCTGCTAGTGAGTACTTTGTCACGGAAGACAGGTTCGACAGCTAACGGTATCTAGTCGCTTGCTCCTGCCCTGATCGAGTCGATAAAGACGGCCGGCCTCGTTCTCGTAACAGACATTACGGATTCACCCACGGAAAACGTCTCGCAGCCTGGAAGTCTACATGTGGCAAATCCACGCCGGCAAACCACGCCAGAGGGAGTTGACGGATACCTGAAGGGGAACGGAATACTCTGCTTTAACGAAACGATTGACATGTGAACAAGGATATGTGGTAAACGGCTTTGTGGGGGAAGGGGGGGACAAGGGACTGCCGAGATTCACTCGGCAGTGTGGTTGTGGTGAATTAGTGTCTGGGGCCAGTTTCACGACGAAACGTACGAAATAACGACGAATTGCTGACTTGACGATGGCGGGTGAGAAAGACGGTAGATGAGTGTTCTTGGCGTTTGAATGGCGGACTGATACTCGGGGTAGAGGCGGCTATACCCGTTGGGAGCCAAAGGCTGATGCTGCACTACTTTTTGGGAGGGAGGGCTAGTTGTATAATGTTTGACTTGAGCGTTTTACTATATTGCCAAGCAGTCATGTGCTCAAAATATGCGGGGAAGGAGTGTATGGGGTTATTGTGTACTGTGTAGTTAGCAGGCATGTGTGTATGTGTGATGTGATGTGATGTGGTGCGAGGGGTGCGGATGCAGGCTTGCAAGCTGCAGTTCGGTAGTGTGGATGGTCGCCGCAAGCTGCAAGGCCGACCAGGGGTCTCTGCGTCTGCGGCGTTCTGATTCGGCGCTACGTCTCAATGGAAAAATGTCGACCGAACGACATTGTGGCTAGAAGCGGACGGGTTGCCGTGAGGCGGTTCAGCTTTTTTTGATGTTTTTCTCAATCTGAACGCCACTCCACCTGCCATGCTGCCCACCGCGCCGGCCATGCGCATATGATGTCGACTTTGAGCGCTTTTTCGAGTCCGCTGCTCCGCAGGACGTGGACATGCCGAGCCTGTATACAATCGCAACGACGGACGACGACGAGAATCCCGCAACGGCAGAGTCTATGGCAACAACGGGGCACACGTGCTGGGCAAAATGGCTTTGCGGGGGGAATTGGTGCGCAGAGGGCATTTGCAAGTGAAAGCACGGCTATGAATGCTGCTGGCAAAGCTGCGGGGAGGAGTGCAAAGAGCAGCAAGAGACGGAGACAACTGGTCTTGCTGGGAGGCGGACTCGTCATCGGCGCAACAGCAGTCACATTCAACGAAGATGCCAGACACGTCTACATAGCTGCACAGAGGAGTTACCGTGTGGTTTCGACACTGGTACTGAACATCAGAGAGTATGTTCCATGGAATGCGGTAGCCTCTATGGGGCAACAAAATCGGTAGCTAATGCCACTCTTTTCTGCACAGCTATCGCCATGTGCTCAAGCGCGACGACGAGCCGGATTACAATGAGCAACTCAAGGCGTGCCACCTTCGATGCGCCAAACGCACGCTTCGCACGCTCGAGAAGAACGGGTCGATATTTGTCAAGTTGGGTCAACATCTCAGCAGCATGAACTACCTCCTCCCCAACGAATGGTGTGATACATTTATCCCATTACAAGACAAGTGCCCGGTCTCGTCGTTCGAATCGATACAGGAAATGTGCCGGCAAGATACTGGTCTAGAGATATTTGATTTCTTCTCCGAGTTCGAGGAGCAGCCCATTGGCGCCGCGTCACTGGCTCAGGTACATCGGGCGACGGTGCGCGAAACGGGGCAAAAAGTCGCAGTCAAAGTGCAGCATCCTGCATTGGACGAATGGGCCAGGCTCGATTTGGCGCTGACGAGCTTCTCCTTTGCCACGCTCAAGCGCTGGTTCCCCGAGTACGATCTCACATGGCTATCCGACGAAATGGAGCAATCTCTCCCCAAAGAGCTGGATTTCACCCTCGAGGGCAAGAACGCCATGCGAGCACGCGAGTACTTTTCCCATGTCCGGGACGTACCGGTTGTCATACCCGAGGTGCTCTGGGCAAAGCGACGGCTGCTGGTCATGGAATACGTATCTGGATTCCGGACCGACGATCTCAAGAGCCTGGATGAGCATGGCATTGATAGGGATGAGGTATCTGCGGCACTGGCACGTATATTCAACGAGATGATTTTCGGCAAGGACGCACCGCTGCATTGCGATCCCCACGGTGGAAACATTGCTATTCGGCACAATCCCGCGCGAGGCGGCAAGAACAATTTCGATGTTATTCTCTACGATCACGGACTGTATCGCGATATCCCCATGCCCATACGACGCAGCTATGCAAAGCTCTGGCTTGCTGTGCTAGATGCGGATGAAGCGGGCATGCGCAAGTATGCATATGAAGTTGCGGGTATCAAGGATGAACACTTTCCGCTTTTTGCATCGGCCATTACGGGCAGGGATTACACGGTGTTGGCTAAGAAGGAGAATGGAGGTGGGGGTGTCATGACATCGAGGACAAGCGAGGAGAAGAAGGTGATTGGAGATGCGCTGGGAGAAGGGCTGATTGAGAATCTGATTGAGCTGCTGGGTCAAGTACCGAGAGTCATTTTGCTGATTCTCAAGACGAACGATTTGAGTAAGTTTTTTTTTTGCATCTACACGACGACACACTTGTTTTTTTCTTTCTGACGGTTGGCATTTAGCACGCTCGCTTGACGAGGGCCTGCACACGCGCCAGGGACCGGTGCGCACGTTTCTTATTCTTGCGCGGTACGCATCTCGTACGGTGTATGAGGAGTGCTTGGACAAGCTCGGGGGATCTATACTGTGGCCCAGCAACTTTTTGTACTGGCTAGCGGCATGGACGAGGTACATGAGGGTGGAGATGCAGCTGAGTGGATACGAGACGTATCTCAAGTTCCGGGCGTTGCTGGGCATGAGGAAGATGGAGATTGGGGATAGTTTCAGGGAGTAGGGTGCTGACCTAGATGTGTACAAAAATAGAGGAGCATCAACAGCGAGGAGTCTGGCGAGCATTAGGGCTTGGGGGTTAGTTGCAGGGGGTTGACTGTTACTGAATGCATTGCTTGTTGTTTTGTTTGTTTGGTGCATGTCGGTATGTCTAGCCTAGTATTGTTGAGCCGGTGGCGGTCTATCAGCAAGTCCGAGTCCGAGTGTGTGTGGGACGATAAGACGGAAGGCGCGGATAGTAGTGTAGAGGGGTGGTGTGGCGACGGCGGTGGCGGGTGTGGATTGGGTGTGGCGCATGAATAAGTACTCTGCTTAGTGGCAGGCGAATCCCAATGCAAAAGGACAGACAGACAGACGGGCCTCTGGGAGTGCTTGGACGACTTGTCTGCAATGCGTTTGAGGCAGCCGTCATCTGATCCCATGTCGACGAGGCGTGTACCGGGGCGGAGCAGCGCCCAGCACCACGAAACAAGAGCTGAGGCGTACCAAGAGGTCGTCAACGGCGGCTTGGACACGGCTGGAGCAGCAAAGTGGTGACATGCAAGACATGGCCGCGCAGCCCTGTGGTCCATCTGGGGCCATGGATGCAGTCGACGGCTTGGTGGGTGCTGGCCCTGCCATGGCCTGGGTTTGACATCATCGACACCATGCATCTTGCGAGCGAGCAGAAACTTGACAGCCCACGCACAGATGGTTGTTGAGTAGTGCTGGCGGGCTGGCGGTGGTGGTAGTGTACTGATAAAGCAGACGGTGGCATGCTCTGCCTCCAAGTCTGTTGTATATTATATCGTGAGCCTGGTTAGCATTCATTTTAGCCCTCCCGTCACCACCAGTTCGCATCGACCGGCGTGCCTGCGGGGCAAGCGCCAAGCCGACGACTCAAGGCACCTTCCGGCCATCGCAGCCCTCAGCAGCGCTGCTTTCGCCCCCCTCCAGTGCTCTCCCAGTGCCCAACATCACGCCAGCCGCCACGAGCGAGGCCAGGCACACTGTACACCGGCCACACGCTGAACTAGTGGCTGCCGCTGCTGCCCTCACATAACCACATATACACAATTACACAACCCTGAATAAGCCCTTACTCTCTCCCACCCTCGCCGGATCTTCTCCGGGCACGACCCTCGACGCCAGTCGCATTTGCCTTTGCAGCGGCGCACGGCCGGTTCCTTACGCACAGCCTCCTCCAGCACCACCACCACCCTCGTCACCCTCAGCGAGCCAACCAAGGCGAAACATCACCACCGCTCCAAACCCCCCACCCCTTCTCTCTCTCTTTTCACCTCTGCGAGCTCTGAGAGCCGCTCCTCCCTCGCAACCCCGTCGCCCCGTGTCCTGCTGCTCCTTGTGCCTTGATCCTGCGCTGCATCACTGCGCACCACCAGCATCATGGACGGCGCAGGCCAGCCCAACCTGCGCATCACCAGTACGTCCCACCTCCCACCGGACGACAAGCCTTCTCCCTATGGGCTTTTCCAGAAGCTAATACCATGCAGTCATTGCCGCTGATGGTCTCTACAAGCGCGATGTGTTCCGTACGTATGCCCTCACCTACTTGGCCTTGGTCGCGTCGCTCATGTATGCCCCACAGGATTTCCCGACCCCTTCGCCGTAGCCACCATCAATGGCGAGCAGACGCGCACCACGAGCGTCATCAAGAAGACGCTGAACCCCTACTGGAACGAGAGCTTCGACATGTACGTCACATACGCCCGCCCCCCCCCCGTCACAACCACAATCCCCCGTACGCTTTCGATCGACACTAACACATGGGTACAGGAGAGTGAACGAAGAAAGCGTCCTGGCGGTTCAAATATTTGACCAGAAGAAGTTCAAGAAGAAGGACCAGGGCTTCTTGGGTGTCATTAACGTCCGCATCGGGTCGGTAATAGATCTTGACGCTGGCGGAGACGGTAGGTGGGACCCTTCCGGCACAGAGCGCACCTGCTAACTCGAGTCCAGAGATGCTTACGCGCGATCTCAAAAAGTCCAACGACAACATGGTCGTTCACGGCAAGCTCATTCTTAACCTCTCTACTAATCTATCTACACCCATCAGCCAAGGATCCCAGAATGCCACCCGCCCGAATGCGTCCCCGCACCCGTCCGTCAACGGCTCCATCCCCGGCGCTGTCTCTACCCCACAGCACTCGACTTCGAACCTCCATCCTCCCGATGTGTATCCAGGCAATCGAGCCTCGGCCGCCAGTCAAGCCGCTCCCCAGCGCCAGAGTCAAGCCCCTCCAGCAGGTGCACCGACTGGCCCACCTGCGGGGCCTGGGCCTGCACCCAACGGGGCGCCTCCAGCTCGCAACAGTGCCGGTGCCACATACAGCGCTTTCGAGGATGCGCAAGGGAGACTACCAAATGGTTGGGAGCGCCGTGAAGATCATTTGGGACGAACGTATTACGTCGACCACAACACCAGGCAAACTACATGGATCAGACCGGGCGCAGGTTTCAACGAGGCAGACCAACGTCGAGATGTAGCAGCGCAGACGCAGCAGGAACGCATGCGACATCAGAATCGCATGTTACCAGAGGACCGAACAGGTGCCAATTCGCCTACCCTGACTGAGCGCCAGCCATCGCCGCCTAGCGGCTCGGCAGCGAATGCCGCGAGCATGATGGCAACGGGAGCAACCACTGCTGGTACAGGAGAGCTTCCGTCTGGTTGGGAGCAGCGTCATACACCCGAAGGTCGACCGTACTTTGTGGACCACAACACACGAACGACAACATGGGTGGATCCTCGCCGACAACAATACATCCGCATGTACGGCGGTCAGGCTGCCAACGGTAGCACCATTCAGCAGCAGCCCGTTTCCCAGCTTGGCCCACTGCCTTCAGGATGGGAAATGCGTCTCACCAACACGGCAAGAGTATACTTTGTGGACCACAACACAAAGACTACCACGTGGGACGACCCGAGGTTACCTTCTTCACTGGATCAGAACGTGCCACAATACAAGCGCGATTTCCGTCGTAAGCTCATTTACTTCCGATCGCAGCCAGCGCTCCGCATTGTTAGTGGTCAATGTCACGTCAAGGTGCGCCGATCGCATATTTTCGAGGATTCTTACCACGAGATCATGCGACAGAGCGCTGCCGACCTCAAGAAGAGACTGATGATCAAGTTTGATGGTGAAGACGGTCTTGATTACGGAGGTCTTTCTCGAGAATTCTTCTTCTTGCTCTCCCACGAGATGTTTAATCCCTTCTATTGTTTGTTTGAATATTCCGCACACGACAACTACACTCTCCAGATCAACCCCCACTCCGGTATCAACCCTGAGCACTTGAACTACTTCAAGTTCATTGGTCGTGTTGTGGGTTTGGCCATCTTCCACCGTCGTTTCCTCGATGCCTTTTTCATTGGAGCGTTCTACAAGATGATCCTTAAAAAGAAGGTTTCGCTACAGGATATGGAGGGTGTAGACGCCGATTTCCATCGTAACTTGGAGTGGATGCTGTAGGTCTGCGGTTTCATTAGTGAATGATGCGAGACTAACAGATGACAGGAACAATGACATTACAGACGCCCTGGAATTGACATTCTCAACCGACGACGAGCGCTTTGGTGAGACCGTCAGCATTGAGCTGAAGCCCGGAGGTGAAAACATCGAGGTCACGAACGAGAACAAGCACGAATACGTCGAGTACGTAGATCCGATTTGAACTTTACCAGATAGGCATGCTGACCACAATAGACTCATTACGGAATGGCGTATTCAAAAACGTGTCGAAGAACAATTCCAGGCCTTCATTACTGGTTTCCACGAGCTGATCCCCGCTGATCTCGTCAACGTCTTCGACGAGCGTGAACTCGAGTTGCTCATTGGTGGTATAGCAGACATCGACGTGGATGACTGGAAGAAGCACACCGACTACCGCGGTTACACGGAGAATGACGAAGTTATCCAGAACTTCTGGAAGTGCATTCGCAGTTGGGACGCTGAACAAAAGTCTCGTCTATTGCAGTTCGCCACGGGTACATCGCGTATTCCCGTCAACGGATTCAAGGATTTGCAGGGTAGTGATGGTCCTAGAAGGTTTACAATCGAGAAGGCTGGCGAGCCAAACCAACTGCCAAAGTCTCACACATGGTATGTCGCTTGAGCAAACGTTACAACATGACAGGAGCTAATCAGATGAACAGTTTCAACCGTCTCGATCTACCGCCGTACAAGACGTATGAGGCACTCAACCAGAAACTCACCATTGCTGTTGAAGAAACTGTCGGCTTTGGTCAGGAGTAAAACCACACATTTCTCATTGGGATATTGCGCATGAACCGCCATGGCGGTCCTAGGTTCGGGGAAGACCTCTATTGGCTCTTTGCCAGTGTATAAAATACACGAAGTCAAACAAAGAGCTTCAACTAGTCTGGCGAGCAAGAAAAAAAAGGCGCTCTTTTGGATCGTATATGATGCTCTTCAGTTTTCCGCACTATATTTGACCTGGCTCGCTTTACTGCATTGTAGGGGAGGGGAGGATATGTTGTGGGCTTGCGAGGACATGCAAGTGCTCCATGGGCGTTTTGGGGGGGTGGCTTTGAGACGGGACGAGGAAAGGGTAGCGCTTTTTATTGGGTTTTTTTTAACACTGAGCGCGGGGTCAATATGAAGAATAACGATTATTGTTGACGAAGAGTCTTTGTTGTATATTGTTCAATTCCCCTCTCTAGTAGTAGAAAACCGGTTGTTTTATGCATAAATATTGTGTTTGTGTGTGTATGTTTGGGTATGTGGATGACAAACATGGAGTTGTGGGGGCGCATTCGTTAACACCGTAACAGCGAGGGATTGTGTAAGCAAAAATCAAGAAAAAGCTGGGCATGCGTTATGTGCATGTTCGGACGGCATATGTGTGGAGCCGAAGAATGGAGACGGGGCAAACCGTCTTGCTTAGCTCATGAGTCCTTGCTTATCTATCTTCGCACTTCGGCAACTCGGGGGTGGTGGTGTGGTGTGAGGAGGAGTGAGTTTGGAGGTTGCAGGTATATAGTTGTTGCATCATCCGTCTTGTTATTTCTCCTCTTCCACCATAACAGCATCTCATAGTTAATCGGGTTTCCCCTCCCCCCCCCCCCCACTTTCAGAAAAGAACGTATCAAAACAACTTGACCTCCACCCATTCCAACAACAACAATAACGACGTAAAAGATATACTACAGAATAACCCAAAGCCCCTGGTGTGAAAAGAAGAAGAAGAAGAAGAAGAAGAAGAAAGACAAGAAAAAATGGTAAACTTCAACCTCGCCCACACATCCCGCATCAACCCCCCCGGCGCGACCCCCATCCTTACGCAACCCCAACTCTGGGCGGGCCTCCAACGCAAAATCCGGTACGCACAGGAATTCGTGCCCGTAATTGAAAGTTGCACTGTACTCGAGGAAAGCAGTGACGGCGTGGTGACGCGCGATGTAGTGTTTAAGCCGGGTATGGGACCCAAGGATCGGGCGAGGGAGGTTGTGAGAGGGTTTTGGCCGGCTTGGGTACGTCCTTTTTTCTCCTTTCATTCGACTTTTTTTTGGGGGGGGGATTTGAAGGTGGATATATATGCTAATCGGGTATATGGGGGTTTTTTTTAGGTTGACTTTGAACAAGAAGATGGATCGCATATTCGCAATATCATCTCAGAGGGGGCATCGGGTGGTGTCGAGGATCTGCACATGACGTATGTGTTTGAGTTTCGATTGCCTAATGTGCAGGAAGGGACTGAGGAGGCGGACAAGGAGTTGGCGAAGCTCAAGGGGGTAAGTTCTTTTCTTTTTCTTCTTTTTTGCTTACTTTTTTTGACCTTTTGGGTGGTGAGTTTGTTGGGAGGGCTGGGGATTACCTAAGAGCAAGGGGGGGGGGGAGGAGAGAGATGCGGAGAACCGGGTGAACCTTTTTTTTGTGTGGGGAAGTGCACACAGGCTAACGTTGTGATGTAGATGGCGAAGAAGGCGGTGGATTCGAGTATTGATGCTATTAGGGAGATGGTCAAGGATGGGAGGATTAAAGAGTAAAAGGGAATGTGAGATGCATGATTTGATATAAGGTCAGTTGCTCTGCACGTCTGCTTTGATCAGGCATAGAATGGATTTACTTTGTTTAAAAAAGAGTGATATCTGTTTCACGCAAGGCTCAAAAAAATGCAATGCACAAAAATCACAAGCAAGAAAGACACGGCAAAAAAGACCAAAAAAAAACAAGTGATCCAACAGGCATAGCAAATGCTTATCCCGATTGAAATTGATCCTATCCACACTTCCAACCCACTAACACACCCACAACGTCACCCCCTCTCAAACTCTACCACCATCTTACAAAAGTCCGGCAGCACCAACGAGAGCAAGGAGAGCAGCACCGGCCTTGATGCTGTTCTTGTCGGCACCGGAAGCACCAGAGAAAGCAGGGGCAGTTGGGGAAGTAGAGCTGGCCGAGCCAGAGGCAGAGCCAGTAGCAGTAGGCTCGCTGGTCTTGGTAGCCGAAGCGTGCGACTGTGTAGCGGCTACGCTAGCAACGGAAGCCATGGAGCTGGAAGCAGCGGCGCGCAGGGGCTCAGCGGCATTGCAGTACGAGGTGACGGTGTTCTCGACCGGGGGCCTGTCGAGCGAGTCGGGGCAGTTGTTGTAGCAGACGAGGACATCACGGTAGACGTCGCACAGGCAGATGAAGTCGTTGCCCTTCTTGTTGCAGGCATCGATGCGCGACTGGTAGCCGGAAACGCACGTGTCGACGATGCTGAAGCAAGGGGTTAGTTTAAGTTCGTGTTGTTCTCTGGGAGCAATGATGCGTATGAGCCAAAAAATAAATAAACGTACTTTTGAGCATCGCACTTGTCCTGGGCAGCGACGAGGCTGACAGAGGCAGAGAGCGCAACGGCAACGGCGGTGGAGAAACGCATCTTGATGATATTTGACTCGAACGTAAAGGTTACAGGGTCTTGGTGGAACGGGAAACAGCGACGCCTGAGTTGATTAAAAGAGTATTATAAAGTTGTAAAAGCGAGAGTAACCCCGAGCGAATGATGGGGTATTAAGGTTATTTTTTGGGGTGAGACGACGACGACGACGACAACGACGGAACAGCAACGAAGAGAGAGGGGGGATAAGCAGGCGGGAAGGCCGTCTGGGGGAGACATTTAAACAAATGCTCTCTGGGCGCCACCCCCCCCGGCACAGCACAGCGAGAGACTCTCAGACCAGGCCTCTTGGGTCGACAGCGCACAAACACGACATGTGCATGCACCTTGGCTTTAGCTCCTTTTCTTCCCTTCCTTTTCTCGTCTTGCCCATTCAGCGCGCGCGCGCAGACCCAATACCCGTGAAGCCCACCCTTTTTCCCTCCCCGGAACTAGTGTGATGCTAGAAACATCAGTGCATTCCCAGCACTCACCCTGCGCCATGTCAGGCGTGCTAACGCGGTAGAGATTGGCGGAGGCGCCATCGGAGCTTACCTGGCACTCTATCGGCCTAGCATGTCGGCTGCAAGCCCCCAAAATTAGTGACTTTCAATGCACCAAGAGGGCCTTTCCCTTCCCGCATGGACGTTTTCGCCTCCTATCCAATACTCGCTTCTATCATAAGGGCACCGTGTGCTAATGCAAGCACTAGGAATCATGTGGGGTGAACTGATCAACCAGGGCCTCGAAAAAAACCGTTGTGTCGGTGGCTGTGTATATGCTTCGATCGATGTGTGCGGAGAGTGTCAGCGCCAGCGTCCATCCATCTCGTGTTGGGCCAAACTCACGGCCAAGGACGAGGCTGGTTTGTCGTGCAAACACCCGAGTGCGACCAGCATCTGGCGGCTGGCCCTCGCTTGATGAGACGGGCTGTAATTGGTGTTGGTATGATGAGCACAGGGTCTCTGGCTGGGGTGAGCCGTTGCTGCAACAGGGGTGGCAAACCAAACAGGCGCCAAGCCAGAGCTATACTACTAACGCCAATGGCTTCCATGGCGACGCCCACCTCGTCGCGTCTCGTCTATAGCATCACCAGACACATACGGCGACCCATCTCGGTTCCTTTCTCCGCACAATCAACGCGCCGATCGGCTGCCCTCGGATCACCAGTAGACAGCACATCTCAGCCTTTTCTCCTCATTTCTAGCCTCATCCATGTCCACCTCTCGGCCTGGACCGCCGACAAGCTACTACAATACACTACACTAAACGACTGACTACTTACAATTTCCAGCCGATCGACAAGCACATGCTGTACAAAGGCCCGCTGCCGCTCTGGCACAAAGTGGACCACCAGTCGAACCAGCGGCTGGTGCTGGTGCTGGTGCTAAACTACCATGGAGATTGCAACAAAACGCCATGGTCATCTTGTGCTCCCCCACCCATTTATTTCTCGCGCCTCAGCCGAGGTCAGCAGCCATAGTAGCTGTCGATATACTTGAGTCGTCTAATAAGTACGTTTAAAATGACAAATATCAACAACAAAACACAAGGGCTCAACCGCCTTCTGCACACATCACACCACTGCTTAGATCCCCATGTGACTTTTCTTCCTACTTACTTCACCATCCCATGGTACCTCTTTCGCCTAACCTGCGTCACCCTTACTTACATACGTAACCATCAGTGTCATTGACCACGAGGCAATGGTCAAAGAGTCGCCACCTGACACTTGAATCTCCATGTCAACACCCTCGCTTCCATTCTTCCATTGCCCACTACTTACTGCACAGCGCTCGGTAGTAGCAATCCCATACCTAGAGTACCATCCACACATGCGCCACAACTCACTCCACATACCACACATCACACGTCAAACAAATCCTGGGCAAAGACGTCAATTGGGTCAAAACAAAACTTGGTTGAACCATCAAACGTGGCGGGGCATGATCTGTCATTGAGGTATCATTTCACCAGCTTTTCGCTCTACATATCCATAGTAGCTACTCAGCATATCCCGCCGGAACGCCATGCTTTTGATATGCACATCTTACATTCCCTCCCTTAGCAATCCCATCTAAGCATCCTCGACAATCTGGGTGTGCAGACCCTTGGGGTCCTTGACGTTGACGGCCTGGACGTAGGAGTAGAGCTTCTCCTTGGCACCCTCCTCGTCGTTACGCTTACGCGAGATGCGGACACGGAGGCGGAATGGGACGCCCTTGATACCAGACTCCCAGACCTTCTTGTTGAGCTGAGGGTCAAGGCGGACATCGTTGGTGCCCTAATATAACATTAGCATCCACTTCCATATCCCACAAAAATGTCCCAGCAGAGGCCATGCCAGCAGTCACCAGACATTGCCCTCCGACTAGATTCGGTGCCCACGTACCATAGCCTGCTTAGCAAAAGCACGGATCTCCTTGACAGCCCTGGGGGCTCTCTTCTTGAAGCTTACGCCATGGACCTATATCCCCAATCTATTAGCCTAATGTTCGCCTTCAGTCTTCCGCCCGATGCCTGCATGCGCGAGTATGGGCACCCAGTTCAGTGTCATCGGCCTGACTGAGCGCCCATCCAAGCTTATGCGAGACCATCCGTGGACTTCACTAAACTGAATCAACATACGCGCTTGTGGAGGTGGATCGTGTATTCGCGGGCGACGACGTCAGCGATCGCGCTGCGGCCGGTCTTTCCGGCAGACTTCTTGCCGGCGGACTTGGTGGTGGGAGCCATTTCTATACAGAGATCACGTTAGCACAAGTCCTCTGATAGCCTTTTGGCACAGCTCGGATTCCGCAGCTGCTACAGCGCGCTGTCGCAGCAATGCCAAAGATACGCAAATAAAACAAAACTAATGGGAATATCGTGGTACGTACGGACAGAGGGTCTCGCTGTGGGGTTAGTCGACGTTGAGGATGCGAGGTGAGGCGTAGAATTCGGAATTTCAGAACCACACGAAAATCGCTGTGGTCGCTTACTTAGCGCACGACGCACGGACCACGCAAACACGTGAGGCACGACTCCATCAAAGGCGAGCTTTTGTTTAGTCATGCTGTATCATTACTTGGGTATTCGAGTCTAAATACAACGCACTCTCTTACAATGCTAACCTTTCAATCAAAATGCCGCAAGTACGCCCCGCTAACGCAACACACCACACACTTTTATCATGCCCAGAACACCCGTATGCGCCTTAGATGTGGCCTGGTAGATCAAACTCCTTTTTGCCATGCTTTTGCTTGTCCTTTGTCTCCTCATGATCATCCTCGTCGTCGTACTCCTCTTCATCTTCGTCAAAATGCTCACTGTCATCACTATCGCTCTCTTCCTCTTCGTCATCATCATCACCGTTGACGAAGCGATTAAGCCGTCCACCGTCTTCGCCCCAAAATTGCAATCCATCAGGGTCGTGGTCTTCAGCCAAATCCAGATTTGGAATGTCCTCGAATAATGCCGGGTTCAGATCGTTTCGGAAGCGGACCAGGGACTGGGTAAAGCGCTCCAAGACATACTGAGGTAAAGATGGTTCTTTAACCTTGGTACCATCCGTAGCCGAACGCTCAGTGCGCTCCTCATGTCCCAGGTCGATGATCGGTACGTCTTCGGCGCGGACATCTCCGGTGGGGTTGAGGTAAGTATCGAATGACCTGCGGACCCGCTCCAGCATCTGCTGCGCCGCATCGGGCATCTGAGGCATCTGCGGCATCTGTGGCATTTGCGGGAACTGGGGCATCTGTGGGAAATTTGGTAGAGACGGGAATTGAGGCATCTGAGGCATCTGAGGCATCTGAGGCATCTGAGGCATCTGCAACATCCGGGGCCTTCCAGGGAACTGTGGCATTTGGAATGGAAAAGAGGGTAGCTGACCTGGAAGCCATGTCTCTTCTGGTTCATCCGGCTGGAAATAGTATCGAGGCGAACGAAGTGGGGCTTGGGACGACGGTGAGCTGACGCTTACAGGTGATCGCGATCCGGAATCTATGTCTGCATCCAGGATCGCGTTCGCGACCTCTTCACTCTCTGGCCCATTCAGGATACGGAGTTCGTTTGTGTTGTATGAGTCGCATGTTGAACACTGGTTTCCAAGCCAGTGATATTTGACCGAAGACTTTGCCGAACAGTCATTGCATTGCACAATTGCTCGGGTGTTTGCAAATTGCTCTGGCATTGGTTGGCCTTCAATTGCTTGAGTCAACTTTTGCCACTGCAAGTCCATACACACGGCACTCTTCTTGCATATGGGACATTTATAAGCAGTCTGCATGTAGAGATTATAACAGCCTTTGTGCAGGTAGTGACCACAAGGCATTGACACGACCGCAGTAGACGAGGTGAAAAGGTGGTCACCGCAGATGGGACAGTCGCCTTCAGTGGCACGTGGCAGGCACTTGTGAGTGGTTGCGTGGGAAATGGAGATGCAGACATTGCAGCTCTGAGAGTTGTGAGCGTGGTACTAAACAAGTTGAGAATGATAGACTTACCTTGCAATGATAGAAGTCTTTGCCCAGACCTTCGCCTCGCCGGCAGATGCCGCAGTCTGGGCAATGATAAATCTTCTTTTTGCTGTTGTTATCCCAGAGCTTGCAAATGTCACAATAATAGCATGCAGTCTCAGTATCGCAATTGGTGCAGACGTCACCCGCTTTTTGGGGTGTCCCGCACAGCATACATAGCATGTTCTGCGTCATCTTTCGGTTCAAGTTGTGGTCTTCGACTGCATCGTGACAATGCCGACAGGTGTACCAGCGGCGACACTCGAAACATTGCACCTTGACATTGCGCTTATAGTGCTGGCAACCAAGGACAAGTTCGCCTTCAATGATATCGTCCTCTTCTTCCTCGCCATGCTCTCCGTTGTTGTGGTGGTGGTGGTTTTGGGGTCGATACGTTGGATTGGTGTCGCCTTCGCGCAGGTTATAGGGAATGTCCGGGTTCGTATCGGAGGTGGATGAGTAGGGCGACGAAGCGTGGACTTCGGAAAAGAGGGATTCTCCAGAGGTGGGGGTGAAGGGACGGTCGTGTGATACGAGACTGGCAGGAGACGTTGGCCGCATCAAGTTGTACTTTTCCGTCATCAAGCCGTGAATCATGCGGGCACGATCTTGGTCCGGAATGGCCATTGCTCTGATCTCGTGGATACGCGTGCGAAGATGGGCCATGCCATCGTCTGCGGGGAGTGATTCCGACATGGCCGTGGCATTCTGGCTGGGCGTGCTGCCAGGAGGGCCTTGTGTCGATGTCGGAGGCGGCGGCAGGGCAGTTGGTGATGATGACGGGTCTAGCTGGATGCGGCCGAGCTGATCTGCGAGGGTATCGGATCGATTTGCGGCCATTTCGACTGGGGTGTCTATTGGTACATGGTCGTGGCCATCTGCTCGCTCAACAACAGCGCTGCGAGGCTGCCGGGCGAGAGAAGAGAAGCTGTCAAATAGCTCGATGGGGACAGTGGGTCGTGTGGCTGAAGTCGCTTCGGCATCCTCGTCTTCACGTGCGCTGCCGATGCTGTCGCGGTGTGGAGGTGGAATGGGTACGGAGTCGCGATTATCACATGCTAGAGACGGCCGATTGCCCTCGTCACTCGCTTGGACAACGCCTGAGAACCGACGAGCATGACGCACCACGGGCTGAATGATAAAGGAAGAAAAGAGACTCATCGCAGCATATTGTGTTCTAGGCGAGTAGGAAGAAAAAGAAGAAGAAGAGGGGGAGACAAGACGCTGCGGTGAACAGGTCAGAGGGTTTTACAGCCGCTGCTTGCACTGTGCTCCTGTCAACCAAGTCACCGTGGCTAGAGCTGCTCACATGGGCTCGCACCGCCACACTTGCCACTGCAGTAAGCATTCTCCAACTTTCACTTTCGTCCGGCGTTTACCATGACATGGCATTTCCAGCAATCAGCATCCGACTGGGTACCGACAAAAGGACCTTCTCGTGGCCAGAACACAACCTACCTGATACTTGGCACACGATCACCTTTGGCGCCGCTTCTACTGCCCATCAATGATCTACCGCACCCTGGCTACATTCACTTCTGATGCGCTTTCCAACGCGCAGCTTCCAGGCTATTCACATTTCCTCACAGTCTGCTATTGCACATGTATTATACACTTCTATAAGAATATTGTTTTGGTATAAGAGCATGTTAGAACCGCCAATTCTTCATAGCAGCTGCTCTCTGGACTTCTGCGACATAAGCTCCCCCCTCCGTACAATCACCCGCAACACGACTAGCAAATCCAATTGGCTCATCAAGCTACCCTGTATGATCGTCGAACCAAACCGAGTGTTAATGCATGATCAGTTTCTCGATAGGGTAGGTTCAACAGAAGGGTGTCGATTACAGCAGAAATCCGTGGAATACAGCCAGGGCGGTCGGTGTTCAGTCCCTCGAGGCCAAGCGCGACGGCCCGGGATAGTGGCAAATCACATCCTTGAAACTCCACCTCGCCGCATCACTATACTGATCCTTCAACATCCACAACTTCTGGTGGCAACTTCCTGAGAAGGTAGTTTGGATCAAAAAGTGTGGATTATGGCGGATCTTTTGCGGTCGCAATGCGGTCCGACGGCAGAAGGATGCACCTATGGGCTCCGCGGAAAGAGAAACCCCTAAGGGCACGGGTACCTGTGGCTGACTCGGCTCCCTCTCGGTGGCGTAGTAGATATGCCGTGGAAAGCAAGTCTTGAAGCACATGTTGAATACTGCAGCAAATCTCGGTTATACTCAGAAACAACTCCTGTCTCGATGCGGACTGATTCCACGGTACGACAGCGGCATCATGCATGGCCATATCAAACCGCCGACCCATCTTCTCTAGCATACCACTCTTGATACTACCAGAACGAGTAATTCGCAAAAGAACCATTGATTCCCGTGCCCATGTCAAGGGTTAGACGCTAGACGGCGCAAAACGTTGACAGAACTCCTTTTTCTACACGCTAGGCACTTGTACCAGTGGTGCGAGCACCACCTACCTTGGATCATGCTACCAACCCTTCAGTGCTACACATGAAAACGTTTGCGCCTTTTGTCGGGAGTACTGAGTATTTCATGGACGGCGATGTATCCCTGCCTCTCGATCCTGCTATGCGGCCTTGGATACGGATATTAGAGGTAGGTCAGATAACATTGAGAGAACCATTTAGCAACCGTCTCTACACCATTCATCAATACCTAAGTTATGCATCACCTCTGTGACTCTTCTAGGAATAGTCTTTTCCAATCTGCTATGAATAATTTACCTGAGAAGGGTAAGTTCCCATTCACTGTAGAACACTGCAACAAAACTGTGGTTGTGGTCATTTACTAAAGTTTGGCGTTCTACTCGACATGAGACCGTGCATGACCCTCTCCTGAATCATATACAGCATCAACTAGACCAACACAGTTTCCTTTCACAGTAATTTTAATCATTGTCGTCGATTTCTGCAATCAATCTCTGGCCCGCTACGCAAACTATCCGGACCTAAAAGACACTTAAAAGTATTGGAAATATATAGCTCCCGTGTTTAAACTCCGAATCGGGGAATTTGTTTCACTACTTGCACAGAAATAGGATTAGGTCGATGTAGAAGAATCGGCCACGTGCGAGTGTGGCTTTAGTCTCGAACGCGTGCGAATTGTGGGCTTGACTTCATCGTTTCCCCTTTGTGGCTTGAATGGCTTTCTCGACCATAGAAAAGCATCGTCTATCTAGGTACACTCTTTGATATGAAGGGAGCAGCGTCAATTCAAACCTCAATACAGAGATTTGATTACTCGAAACAGAACAAGGTCAAAGGCTCTGTGTTGTAACATTGTGGTCACGAGCATCGCTACTATTACGTATCCAAAACAGGATGGAACAGCATCATCCACGTATCTGCCAAGAGGTCACTTGTCCAAAACACTATCAATCATGGGGTGATCTAGTTTAGTGACGTTTTAATACGTGATGCTATATGCTATTTATTACCCAGCTTTTGTCTCTGGCTGCAGAGGATGACGACGAGCCTCGTGCAGGGATTTGATACATGCAGCTAAAAAAAACAAGACGCGAAATCGCTTTTGTAAACTTATTGCAAACTTAGAATCAATGAATAAAAGCCCTTAGTTGGTGTTGTTATTGCACCTAGTGTGGTTGAGGGCCCGCCTGAAAGGTTATTCGGGATCTTGATGTCCCGAACTGGAAATCGGTGTATTGCCGAGTCAGGGAAACCACAAGCCACAAACTGCTGGCGCTACTAAACTTTATCATTAATTCTTGTCAAATTCCTTTCCTCACGTTGAGATTGGTCAGAAATGTGACCTACGTTTGTATTTCTCGACGACGCCGTTGTGAATGGAATTGCCACGATGTCTATGTGAGACCATTTGCAATTAGGAAAGGAATTTACGGCGATGTAGAAAAAGACCAAACGCCCCTCTTTTTTGGAATAAGCCATATGACCAGAAGGCTGAGAGATGTAAAAAGCCACTAATTTGTGAGACCGATGACGTTTTTTTCAGCCAATGGAACTCAATCTACACCATTAGCATGTTCACATGCCCGACCAAGATTGACTTGACCCAGATTTGAGTTCTAGATTCGGCGACCGATACGTCATATGTCGGAAATGCGTTTACCAATGAAATGGGGAGAATAAATATTATCCTGATCAGAGACTCCTCCCAATCAGTGCAAAAGCTCTTGACTTTCTATCGACGTCAAATTCATCTTAATGGCAGATCGCAGTATAGGTGTATCGGTGGTGACACAGCTATGATAAGTCTTCATCTACATACTGCTCTGGCATAGCTTAGAAGATGAAATTCTTCAAGCTAAGAAAATGTACCAGCCGGGATACACTTATTGAACCAGAAAGACCTAGGAGGTGTGATCTAGACTCTAGTTGCTGGATTATAGGCGATATAAACCTACTCAACCCGTGATGGCCAAGGTGATATACGAACAGACCCAGTCTAGCGATATCACTAATGTAATTCCAAGGTTCGTCAGAAAAAAAACTAAGCATCAAATGATATGCTGACAGACAATCGTCAGTATTTGTATAAGCAGATGAAGCAGAGTGATGGCTGCGAGGCGGGTATTTCCCTTGGATTTACTACGAATTGACAGGCAGATTTACGGAGTGTTGATGGATGCTGGGGTGAAGAGATGTCTTAGTAAGCATACACATTCTGTTTATTCGTTGATCCATATATACATCGTAGTTTCCCCGGAAATTGCCAGCATTGGAGCCTTTGGCATTTACAAGACAATGTGGCAGGAAAGGAGATGTCAGGGCAGTGTGGAAATTGACGTAGGTACGGCAGGCGCGACGAGCCTACCCCGCAGTATCGCCCACAAATGCAAACACTAACCGCAGAACTTTCCCCCACTATAACCAACTTGACAAACCTTCACAATTCTTTGCAATTTTTCTCTTCTTTGATACCCCGGCAATTTTTTGAATTGTCACCACACACACATACAGTCATGTCAGACACAGATTCTGACACGGCCAGCTCCGTGGGCAGCATCGTTGAAGACGCGAGCGAGCCGGATACGTCTACTTTCAAAGATCTATTTTCTGATCGACAATGGAACCGTGTATCGGATATGATAGCACATGACAAGGCCGAGCACGGTTTTGATCTCACAGAGACTATCAAAGGACTCGGACCAGGTGCGTAAACGAAAAAGAACCATTAGCGTCTAACCCATTTAGGATGACTACTCACAATGACAATAGATGCAGATGAGATTACAATCATTAAGCTGATCAACTACTTGCGGTTTGAAGCACAAAAGGGAACTGATCCCAAGTCCATCAAGGTGACACTGGACGACCTCTCAAGCGACAAGTACCTGCAGCCAGTTCTAGAAGACGATGCCCTGCTTTTTGAACTTGGCGACCTCATGCCGAACGACGATGCTAATGCAATCGACTACGATGAGTACGAGGCCAAGTTGCAAAAGGATATGCCTGAGGACTTTTCCAAGATCAAACTTGTCAACGACCGTGATCAAGACTACTTTGAGTCGTACAAGGGTAATAGCATTCACCGAGAGATGATTGAGGATCGCGTACGGACAGAAGGATATCGTGACTTCATTGAGAAGAACGCTGATGTCTTTGCGGGAAAGACTGTCATGGACGTTGGCTGCGGTACCGGTATTCTTTCGCTGTTTTGTGCGCGAGCGGGGGCAAAGAAGGTGTTTGCCATTGACAACTCGGGCATCGCTGTGCGTGCAAAGGAGATTATCGAGAAGAATGGATACCAAGACCGCATTGAGCTGATCCAAGGAAGAGCCGAAGACTTCAACACGCAACGCCGGATCGGAAAGGAAAAGGTCGACATTATCATCTCGGAATGGATGGGCTACGGATTGCTCTTTGAGGGCATGCTCGACTCGGTCCTGCGCGCTCGTGACATGTATTTGAAGCCTGATGGTATCATGGTACCTTCTCACTGCAACATTCGTCTTGCACCCATCAGTGATGCCGAATGGATAGCCGACAGCACGGGCGAGAAGTTCTGGAAAGACATTTACGGATTCGACTTCTCGCCTATGATACCGGGTGGTCTGCTCAACACGCACGAAATTGGCGTATTCGACGTACCTGAGAAGTCATTGTGCGGAAGCGCCAACAGCCATTTGCTGGAGATGAAGACTGTGGCGATCAAAGA